CGTGTTTCTTGCATATATTCTTAGAATATTGTTGCTATAAATTCTACGTATGACAGACAATTTTTTAGCAGATACAAAAAACAGCGATATAATTTAACGGTAATATTTAGAATTCTAGCTGGAACAGCGAAACATTTCCCTGAGTGAATATTTTCTTTTTAATAAATTTAGGAAAAATATATTTAAACAATAAGATTGTGTAATATATTTCTGTTATAAATTAATAGGTAAATATTAACATGTTTTGCTTAAAATCATCTGTTTTTTTAAATATATTTTTGTAGAACAAAAGAATTTTACAATTAGTTATTTAGCTATACTGTTTTTACACTTGTCAGTGTATTAAAAAAATATTGTTTTGTGCAATAATTTTATGCACTTTGCGCATTTGATCCACTTTTTTTGAGAAGATAATAATTAAAGCTCACATTACGTAAATTACGAAAATGCATGATTCATATAACAGAAATCGCTAATTAATATAATCTTGAAATTTAACAAGTTATTTTAATATTAAATCCTTTTCTCTAAATTTTTACATATTTTTCATTATTTTCGTTATTAATGATTATCATTTTAATTTATCAATTTTTTTTAATAGGAGCTGTATTAAATTAACTTTAATACGTACAAACACTCGTTTCATCGATACAAAACGCAATTAATTTTACTTAAAAAATTACATCATATCGAATCAACAAAAAATCAATGAGATAACGATAGTATTCGTAGAATTGTGCTTATTTACTTGGTTATTTACGTTGCAGATATGATAATCAGTTTCGCTTTTATGAAGTTTAGTCGTAATGCTAGTAATAATTCTTTAACTCGACAAGACGTCTAAATAATTAATAACTGTAATCTCTTCTGTTCATCGCCAGAAAAAAAAGAAATTTTTCTACTAAAATTAACTTTTAGAAAGAAAACAGAATGAAATGCACCATAATGACATCAAGATCAGTCTATACTCTCGTGGATTTCTCTGCTCTATCTTCTCCGGAGGGAATCAGGAAATGCAGCTTGTGCAACAACTCTATTTCCTCGTCGGATAAATGTCGCGCGATCTTCCGCTCCCTGGAGCGAGCCTTTCACAAGCATTGCATTAGGAACAAGTTAGGGTTAGAAGGAAGAGAGAGAAGGATGTCATTCTTCCTAGAGTGCTGTACGATCGAGAAATTTCCCTCGAGACCTGTATACATGCGCGAAATCGGCGATTGCGATCGACTTTATGATCGTTACGTGGCGTTATAACACAAGGTATAATCCAAAGTATTGAAAGAACAGTTGCGCAGAAATATCTAAAAATTTAACTAGATACAGATCTGAAAATAATTTTGTTAGACTATCAAAATAATTGGACGCTCAAGCATAATGTGCAACGTTGCAAAAAATTTTGACATTCTAGCAATCAGCTAGAGCATCCCACAATTATTTTGATAGTCTAACAAAATTATTTTCAACTCTGTATCCAGCTAAATTTTTAGATACTTTATTAAAACCGTTCTTTCCATGATATGATTATCGGTATCACGAACGGAAAAGAAAGACAGATTAAAAAAAGAAAATACAGAGATTACATACAAAAGGAAACTTCTTTTCTACCTCGTATATACGTTATGTTTTATTTATGTCACTGCAGATTATGTCGCATATATACACGGAAAGAATAATTTTGCTGAATTCAGATCTGAAAATAATTTTTGTTCAATAATCAAAATAATTTTGTGCGAAAGTCAAAATAATTGCTAGAATAATAAAACGTTTTATAGCAATGCTTATCAGTTTTAACATTCTAACAAATTATTATGATTTAACAAAAAATATTTTCAGATCTGTATTTAGCAAAATTTGTAGACCTTTCAACAAAATCGTTCTTTCCGTGTATTTTTTTTTTACTTGCATGTTTTTAGTTATTATAAGCTCGGAGAAGTAAAGAACGAAATAACCGAGATTGTTTGAAGTAGAAGTTGAACGCCTTTTTCTGTGTTTCTTCGCGCGAGGGAAAGCGAAAGAAACATCTAAACTATCAGACACGTCAGTGAAGCGGAAAGGAGTTTGCAGATCAGAATTCAGATCGATTCGACACGAGGTGTGCCCGACGGATCTGAGCACAGTGGACGCGTGCCGTTCCGAGACCGCGATCTTTGCATACGCGCCGCTCTAGAATCCCAGCGATGCGCACGAGTACCGTCCCGCGTCTCCGAAGTTCCGGGAGCGAATGTCCGCGGTCTTTGCGAACTCGCGGCGGCCTTTCGCCACGAACACGACCCACCGGGGAGAAACTATTTCGCTAACGAGGGTCTGCGAGCGTCGGGCTCTCTCAGCGAAGTAATTGGAATTCATGCCGAAGTGTCTCGCGCCGGAAGATGCGCGCGCGCACGCTGATAACCGCGGCTGATAACCGAAGCGCCAGTAATACGTGCGGTTAGCCCTTGTTCCGCCGTTACGATCCTGTACCTCTATAAATTCCTTCGAATTCTCTAGTCTTTAATTTATTTCTTCAACCAAACACGTAATTATGCACGCGAGTCCTGTTAAAATTGATTTTACACGTTTAGTACGAAAAAGTGTTTTTTTTTTTTCAGACAGAATAATATAGATTTATCGCAGATTACTTTATTGTAAAAAAAAATATGTAAAATTCTGAAGAAAATCACGCGATTACCTTTCATAGTCACATAACGGTTCAAAAATGTACCGTACTAGAGAATTTTAGCTTACATAACGGGGATTGCGTCTTTCGAAAAATTTATGCGCTGCTACGCAACATTTCCTATTCCTATTTTACAATCTTCCCTCGTGCCTGGTTCGGCAACATTATCATAGATATTTAATCGCTCCTCTTTCATCCTCATTTTATATTAATAAATAATCTTTATAAATGGTATCCTAAACATTCCAAACCGTGTATCTCTCTTTGAAACGACAACGAAGAAACAGTTATGTTACGCTGCACTACTGGGAAGGATAACGGACATTTACGCATTCGAGCAAAGGTTACATTCGCTCTCCTTGGCACCTAATCGTCTTGTCCCGACACTCGATTGCCCATTGGAATTGTGCAAGTGCATCGCCGAGTAAACCAGAGCTTAATATGGGCTCAATTAGGGCGCTTACTGCGCATACAGTCGCACTTACCGTGTAGGCAATGGTGTTGATGGGCTGCGAGACGCGACCGTGCTTCTTCTCCTGTGTCGTGGAGCCATCTTTGCTCTCGTTATCGGAATCTATGCAGAAAAAAAAAACAGACTTGTAGTCACGTTACTTTCTTCAACAGCACGTTGATAAACCAAGCGCATCTGATGTAACATTTTATCTCGACTTGTCTAAGATTACTGCGCAGACATATCTCTATCACATAAATATCTTATATGATTAGATTTAATTCTACTTGCAAAACTTCGAAATTCAGATTACTCGCGTCTACTTCGGAGTATCGAATCTGAAGAGATATTGAGGAAAAGATATTATATATATATTGCACGTCCACATTTATTCTATTTTTTTTTTCCAATAAACTTAGATAATTCTTAGATAAGTCGTGCGACAGAGGTAATATATTGTTAACGCACTCTATATAACATCTCTAAAATAACTAATATATTGCAAAGAGAAATATTTCTTTATTTAATAAATTTCAAAGATAATTGTTTCAAACAATCCGCTTTTTTTCTGCCAAACAATATAATTAATGTAAAAAAATTCGAAATTTGTATTAAATAAAATAAGGTTTTATTTAAAATTATAATGTTTCAATGAAACAAATGTAAAAGTAGAAAAAACGTGCGATTGTTTGAAATAATTTTCTACAAAACTTGTTAAATCAAAAGAAATATTTCTCTCTGTGTATAAAATGTTATACGTATATGTAATATCTTTTAAAATTGAGTCGTAAAATTGTAAAATGTAGATAGCAACAGACATGTAAGACAAGCAAACTTTACTTCGGCAAGATGCGTACTATTTCATAACATGAAAGAGATATACATCCATATGCCGTTATCTTAAGTATAATGTTTCTTCGATAAGAACGTTTCGAATCTTCGCCGAGTCTTCGCGACAAAAAGTTGATATCAATTTACGCTCTTGAGGGGAAAAAAGTAGCCCCGATGAGGTGCTTCACGGAGTGAACGATTAAATTTAATTTCTGCAGTCCGACTGCATTACTCATCGCCAATGCCAGTCAGCTGCACCGTGGCAAGTGCGATTCGATGATAAACGAAGCAACAAGCACGTGACGGCTCACGCAAAAGTCATTCCGGGGGTTGAACCTGCTGCGCGCAAGGCAAACGCGGTTAATCATTGTCAATTTAAGCATTCATTCGCTCGCGGACGGAGGCATCACGAGAATCTCACTTCAGAAGATGAGCGTGAAAGGCAAGACGAGGCAAGACATTTCTGATGTGACATTGCTTTTAAAATCTGTCTTAAAGAAACTAAACAGACTACTTTTCTCTCGATTAAAAATATACATTATAAATATATTGTATTAACATTAGAATTTCTTGATTTAAATTACTCAATAATCATTACTCCCTAAATGTATAATGCTAGTACAGCCACATCAAATTGATAAATCCTATTGTCAAATCGTTATTTTATTATTATTATAATATTATAAACCATCTTCATAAAATTAAGATACAGAAAGTCTTAAACATTAGCCAGAGTATTGGACTGGGTGATACTCGTATTATTTCGAAAAAAACATATATATATATATATATATATATGTATGATTGGTGTAGATACAAAAGCTATTAAAAGCATCAATGTCAGATTACTCATATATCATAATTGAACGACCGCGTTTCCTATTATTTTCTGCAACCGGCCGGCCTACGATAGATTTTCTCTATTGTATTCCATGAGCAAACGTGACAAGAGTAACGAAGAATCGCGCGACGAGCAATCTGAAAGGTTTGTTTTTCTTCTCCGTGGCCTTCGATAAATGATTCAGACACTCAGCTCAATTTTAACTGGCATTCAATTCACGCCATTGCGCAATAAGCTCGAGATGGACTGCGGAAACATTATTTTAGCCGGTACGACGGCGACGCCAGGCGCGACGCGTGGACTTGACACTTCTACAGATTTGCATATTTCATCGCGTCTCACACGTCGCAGATGGTGTGCACGTGTGAAATTAATTAATATTTATTGAAACGATCGACACGAAGCAGAACATAAATTAGAACGGCTTCTTGAATGAATTTTTCCTACTTTCCAGAGCCGACATTATTTTACTCTGTTTTGCTCTATCATATTTTACTCTATTTAAATTGAAGAAAAAGGTGATAATCTAAGGATATCGTTTAACTTGACATTACTTGACACTACTTGAACCAAGATACTTAAACCAATCGTCAAAAAAAAAAAATATTTTTCAGGTTTCAATTATAATAATTTTTATTTGTAGTCTACACTGATATTAATATTTGTAACAAAAATAATTTTCTAAAAAATTCAGAATAAAATATCTATTTACATATCATTTATAATATGAACTTTGACGATGAAATTTGTAGTGTTCAAACAGCGAATGATTTACCGAATATCATTCGCTCTCACGTCTCAAGTAACAGAGTAAATAATTTCTCTCAAACTTGCTAACGAAGTGAAAATGAAACAATTTGCACGTTTAAAAGCTGAAAGAAATTAAAGTAAATATTATTGAAGGGTTGCTTTCAAAACAGCGGTATTTGCGTTACGAAGAGCCGAAGGTGGCCAAGTTTTTCTACATCGCGCGGAACAAACATATGAGAAAAAAAAACGCGTAACGCACGGATGATACCTTGCAGCCATTTAAACGCATTCTCCGACCACGACTCTCCCGAGTACCTGTACTTGAGGTGTGCTGCGAACTGCCTGAGAAGAGCCGCGAATCCCCTTGCGCCACGTAGTACACGACATAATCGTGAAATTCCTTCTCGTAGATGTGAATGTTGCTTGGCTCATAGTCCGCGTATTCCCACTGCGAGTCCGTCATGACCGGAACGTCAAATTCCATCGCCATCGACATCTCCAAGTCGCATTTCTCGACTTTTTTTTCGGAATCGCCAGAAAGCGGACACTTTTTGTCACCCAAACCTATCTACGCCGGCGCGTTTAATGTTTCGCGCATCGACCAATTACAGCGTCGGTGGAATAATGCACACCGTGGCGCTTCGTTAACGTAATTGATAGGTGTCAGTTGACGAAGTCAGCGCGAAGTCTAATTAGATAAATGGAAAGCGTGCGAGTTTTTTTGCTCGTTCTCATTTTTCTTCGATACTTCAGAACTAACGTTTTTATATAATATGCAGATAAAAACTCTCGCCGAGCGTTATAAGTATATTTAAACAAATTTCACGTAATTTATATTATGAGGAAACAAATCAAATAAACTTCAAGATCATGAAGATAAAAACAAATATTTAACTTTTCCAATAACGGATAATGGATAAATAAAAAGCTATGTTAAAAACACGTTGTAAAATAAACAACATTAGTGGACACTATAGTTACAGAATAAGTTCTGCAGAGTTTCAGCGAAGTTTTTACATTAACAAGTGGCTCACGGAGAATACACAATGGTATATATATTGACTTCTTCGGCTTCCCGCTAATTTTATCCACACTCAAACGGAAGCGCTCGCGCTCAGTGACAAAGTAGTAGCTCAACTTGCAGAAAAAAGAAGAAAATGCAAAACTAAACTGATTTTATACAAAAGCTTTCTGAATTGAAATCTACATACGAATGAAACGATAGTGCATAGTCATAGCTTACTTTGTCACTTTCCGTAACCCTTTCACTGTCTAGTTGTTTTTTATCGATTAAACTTAAGCGTTCTAAAAACAAAACAGACCTTTATATTGAATAAATATTGTAGTTTTGTAATGTTAATCTTTCTCGGAAAAGCTTGGAAATGTATTTTAACTACTGCAAGTTTTAAAAGAGATATATATACGAAACACAAGTTCGGCGCATCGTGTCTGATGTAAGATAGCCAGGTGACCGCGGAGATTTCCGGGAAAGTCCCGGAATTCGTCGGCTGATCCAATTATTGGAAATTTCCTGTCACGGAAATGTATAATTTTAACGAAATTCTAGGATTCATCTCATATTTTTAGGCCACTCTTCGCAATCGCCAATAGTCGACATTTTATACATTAAAGATTTATACGATGTGATTCACACACTCACAAGCGCGTCCACAGCACTGTGTTGTACTTTGTGCGTTCTGACATCACTGACAATGAGCTGTGCAGTGCCATGTGCCTGTGTGTACCATGATTTATGTAGGAGCGCTAACTGATACAAGATTTAACTCAAATACTTTAATAATCCATTTTTAATCATTGTCTCATGTCCCGGAAATGTTGATATTAGATCTGGCTGTATTAGATTCTAATCTGATGCACGAGAGTACCAGAAATAAAACTCATGTATCACATATACAAAATTCACGAGACAGCGAAAGGGTCAAGTAAATGGCATGGCAAATGCATTGCAAGTTTACTTACTTTTATCTTTTATAGATTTTAAATATCAAACTGTTCAAACAACCCAAAAATATATCAATAAGGTTATATTAATGATCACAGAAAATTATTGAAGGTTAATCTTGTTCAATCTGAAACAAGTCCTTTTTGCAGGATCGAAACCATCAGCGATGCGTTGCGCGCCACAATCTTCTTCACGCGGACGGAAACGCACGCAACTTCGCAAAACACTTCTTCTTGCCGGCACAGTTGACCTTGTCACTGGCGATATGTAAAAAGTGCTCGTTTTGCGGCGTAAAACCAGCAGCAACGAAATTTACTCGCGTGACAGGACCAAATATGTGCGATAAAGTAATTAGTCTACTCGGAAAAATTACCGGAAAAAAAATAAAATCTTGATATGCAATTTACGGTTTGGATTTGTCAGAATCGAAAAATGTTGATCCCTTACGTTTTGAGTGTAGATAAAATATTTTCCTCTTGCTTAACTGTTATTGTGTTACTTATTTATTTTATAGAAAAAAGAAATATACATACATATATATGTATGGATGTGTGTGTGTGTGTCGTGTGTGTGTGTGTGTGTGTGTGTGTGTGTGTGTGTGTGTGTGTGTGTGTGTGTGTGTGTGTGTGTGTGCGTGTGCGTGCGTGCGTGCGTGGTGCGTGCGTGTGTGTGTGTGTGTGTGTGTGTGTTCAAGGTGTCCCCGTATAAGTGACCACTCCTTTTTATCTCGTAAACTAA